CAAGTGCTTGTAATCAGTTGAAATGTCAAGATGTATCAATTGACTCATTTATTCATCTGTAGGGCAGACTCGGGCAGAAACTTAATAAAAAAATGTTGTTCCTACACCAGAAGGGTTAAATCAGGTGGCAGTTGTGGAAACGGGCAAGCAACTAATATTACTGATAATTGAATGACCTGGTTGATCTTTGCAAAGTCAGGGTGATCTAAAACTATTCCCAATCAGACTATTTGCTGAGATTGAAGCTTGCATGGTGTGTTGATCTAATCCCGACAGGAACCCGGATTGTTTGTCCAGATGGGATGCAGTGGCACAGGCAGATCTTGTAGCAAGTAGAAGGCATGAATATGACACCTCCACATCATTTCTGCTGATGAGCCTGGAGCAACAGCAATACATCACCCAGCTCACCTCTGACCAGCTTCACTGAATGGCTGACCACTGCACAGGGTAAAGGGTCATCCAAGGACAATGATTGTTGCCAGCTTGCTCCATCTTGCTTATATAACTAGGACCTCTGTTTCCTCACAATATATGCTGATTTTGCATCCTTGAAAGACCATCCTTGACCAGCAAACCTCAGACTGAGATGGCATATTGATGGACAAGATTATCATTCGATGTACATTTACATCTCTAAAGGACAAATTATAAATGTAACTTCAAATCTGACATCATAAGCACATACTGAACTACTTTTGTACTAGTATATATTCAAGGTTAAATTCATTACTTCTATATTGGTATCTCCACTCCAATTCCACTTTTGTCAACCCAACAATCTCACTCAGCCTCCATCATAATCCATTAGTGTAAAATATATTCAGTATTTTTAATCCCAGCCTATACCGTCTAAACAACAAAGCTAGATTTTGAACCAGATTGTTGTCATCAATGCATGAGAGAGCTGTCAAATGTGTAATCCTTATATTTAAAAGAGTTCTTCGTGTTTTCAGTCATACAAATGATGGCATCACAATAAGGCTTACTGTAGTAGAGTCTGATTCCATCTGTATTAAAAAATGTCTGTGAAAGGAATATAGAGTGTAAGTAATTGATGAAAGTTCCGCGATATACTGATATAAATACAAATCATGATGTCACAACAAACTTGCAATGATCATTTGCACAAAACGTTTTACAAGTTATCTGTAACACTTTGTTGTTCTTTGAGTGTATACTCAATAAATGTATCTCTTTTTCTTAATCTACTTTATTTCTCTATATCACAAAAATACAGGAGTCAGCATGTTGCACAGTTAGATAACAAATTTGCTCTTTATAAAAAAATATACCCTGGTGGAAAGATACATTAACACTTTACTTGTCAAATATGAGACGAAGAGAATCCCAAGCAAATAGAAACTGTAGAAGCACAAGTTAGCATATATAGACACCAGTATATTGATTGCTGCCTGCGACTATTATAACCACTGCCTTGCTCACTTCAGATCCAAGGGAGGACGAAAAGTTGTTTCTGTAAACACAGTGACCGGGGCTCACAGACTTGTCCATAATGTTGACTTATTCAGGCTAATCTGAAACACGATAGCAATCTCAAGCTTTGTATCTCCACGGTTACGACAGCCTCACCAGAGACTTTATCCTGGAGTAAGGCTTCTCTATTAATCTTCCCCCATCATGCACCTCTGTCACCTTCAGCACCACTGTCAACACTTGAAATAAAAGTGCACAATTTTTCATCCTGTGATATCTTTATCTGTTAAAAAGTGTAGAATCTTTTGAACAATTGCCAGGAATTATGCTCAAATTTATGCACCCTGAATATTGATTTCATATACAAATGAAGTGTGAATGATTTTTCGGTGAGGAGTTTTCTTGAGCAATTACCATTTCCTGCAGCTGACATAGTAAATTGGTTTCTTCAATGAGAAGTGAGCAACTTGGCAGCTATATCCAGGCTACCTGAATAGGCCATCCATCCAGCCTATCAGCAGCCAACTACATGGTCGAGATCTGGCATCTCCTTGGTCACCAACCTTATCATGGCTGTTGTAAAGGTAGTCATATCAGACTGAATGCAGTCCAATCCTGGTATAGAAGCAGTCAGTCAAGTAGTAGGCTTGTTGACCTCTTTTCTCAGTAACATATGCTATATTTGGGATTACACTTTCTCAGTAAATGACAGATTCTTGTATTTTTGTTAGGTTGAGTCCCATTCGGGATTTGATCCCACAGTGTCAGAGTCAGGCACCTAATTGCCAGCAGACAAAGTCAGAGATATAACCAACTGAGCCACCACCGCAACCTTTAAATGAGATTCTTATAACAACAAATACTGCCAGTGTGTTTTACCTCACAGCCTCACCTAGTAGCAGGTTCCTACAATATCTATCATCTACTACAACAACAGTACATCCTCTTAAGATGGCATTAGCATGACTATTTCTATAGCAGCTATCTGAGGTCACTTAGCTCTGAAAGGATGCTACCAAGTCCAGTTCAAACAAACACCGAATTGATATACATATTCTTCCACAGACTGGTGGATGATGGAGATTGACTCTTGATTTCAAGCACAGCTAAACAGGTTTCCAACTCCAGCAGCTCCAGTCTTTTATGTCTACCTTTCAAAACTTCTGAAGCCCAATCAATCATCCTCTTTCTATGAAGATTTCAGAGTTGGTTTCTTTCAAAAGTTGCCCAATTATTTTTACATCATTCAAGACCACAGTAAAGGTATCAAAATGTTTTGAGGAAGACAAGTGAAGGACAGTTCCAAACTCAACAGTGACAAACCGCAAGTCTGACACATGTCCCTACTGTGACTTGTATCAAATATTCCCTTCTTTTTTTTAGGTGAACAACTGACTAGCCTCTGCATGTGTTTGTGACAGGTTCTACAGATGGACAAACTAACTTATTTGTGGAGAACTGGCATCATCCCTATCTGATTCATAAAAACACTGTTTTGAGTCAATGTGCTTATAAACACCTGCTTATAATACAGTAAGAGCTGTACCATAGCCTTTGCTTTCTGAACAGTTTTCTGTTTGTAGAGAAATGGTTCTATGTACAACAAGACCTGATCAAAAGCTTTAAGTAAGCATGCAATTCCTCATGGTTTATCTGAACTAAAATTTCTCCAGCTATTCTAAAGGCGTTCCTTATTTCTGCTTCAATATAATCATGTTTTCATTGATGCCTGGAAATAAAACAACTGAAATTTAACCTTGTTTTTTTAGAACTATTAGTTGTATCAGCTTCTGTTGTGCCCGGTACTGAAAACACCTTTCAATAATGAGGCTATGAAAATAACAGATTGTATGTCCAGTATCAACAACACTGGCATGGGAGATCCGTGGGACTAACCTGTCTGACTGACAGCGTTATTCCCATCATAAATATTGATATTTCTCTGTGTAATTATTGTAATTCAGAGATTACCTTGCTATAAATTACCTGCCTGTAAGGCCTAACACTGGTTCATGCTGACGCACTAAATGCACCCAACATGGTGAATAATTTCCACATGATTCTCATACAAGATAACATAAATGATAAGACAGAATTTCATTATTGATCGATTTATCATTCTTATTGAAATACTGATTCTGGTTGCTATATCCTAAAAATACATGCACTGGCATTCTAGGTTCTGTCCCTTGAGGCAAGCCTCAAGCTATCCTAACATCTGAAGTGGAACACTTTTATGGATAGACAAATTCTTTGTTGCAGTAGTAGTTGTGAACGTTTGGTGTAGATCCTAACACTGTTATCAAGCAAATGATAAGGAAGTTATCATAACATCTGCACTTACAAACACAAAAGATAATGTGATAGTGAGATTTGCTTTGTGGTCATTAATACAGAGAAGGAAAATATCACTGACATTCTCCTCATGAAAACTATCCTCTTCCAAATTCTGGTTTGACAATGGTTTCCATCAAGCTATGCTGGCTGTAAGAGACAGCCTAGACTTGCACAAATCTCTAATGTAATAATTAATAGTTTAAATCATAATTTCTACAATTCACTGACTGTTACTGTACCCAGTTGCATGGATTGTTGATAATAATATCATGCACTCTTTTGTTCAGTGCAGACTCAATTAATATAGCTTGAATATTTTGAGTGCAGCATGTAACACAAATCAAGGAAACTATACCTATGGATTTTATCTTGAGAAAACTATCCTTCACTTATTTTCCTTGAGAAGATTTAACAATACAGAGATATACAACTGAGTGAGTGAGTTAGTTTTTACGCCTCTTTTAGCAATATTCCAGCAATATCACGGCTTCACACTTTGTGCCCATGTGGTGAATCGAACCCGGGTTTTCGGCATGACGAGCGAACGCCTTAACCACTAGGCTACCACACCACCCCAGAGATATACAAATGATGAGTAGAGAGGAAAATGAGAAGACTTTCTTATCACTTGAATTCAGATCTTAAACAAATTAGATACTACATTATATATAATTTTCTTAAATAGGACAGACAGTAAGATTATTATTGGAGCATTAACCTTCAAATCAAAACACAGGGCAAGACAAATAGTATACTTTATGCGTGAAGGATCCGTAACCACTGACAGTCAGTAGTTCCTGAATCATGTGCTGGCCAGGCACACCACGCATATCACTTGTTTATAATGTAATCAGTGTACATGAACTAGCAGGGCAGCTTCCTGTTTCAAGGAGTCATCCATCAAAACAAGACTTAAGGCGATATATTCCAGATTGGTAACAGCACATACGTATTCAGGCAAATCTCTTCAGCAATCTGGACCAATACTTGCATTATATAATTCCATCATCCGTTTGAAATAAACTAGGCTTAATGCTTCTTGGAATAATCCTATAATATATTATGGCATGCTAGCTTAACATGCAAGGTCAGCCTTAAGTAAGTTGTCACTGTTCTGCAACTTTGGGATTCAAACACATGACCAAGAGATATTGTTAGGTAAGGGAGGCAACCCTTCACAGCAATACCACTGGGTCACCAGTGTAAAAGTAAATTATAACACCTACCCGAGATTTTCCTAGCAGCCACAGAAACATGAAGACAACGGATGACCAGCATGACTTCATCCGTTCTCCCACCGTTCGACAACATGGCATGGTGATTTAAGGAGGCCTGCAAGAACAATATCAAATGTTATGGGGGGTGAGAAAATGAGGGGGAGGGGTGGGGGCATGTGGTTCAAAGTTCAAAGTGGATGGATGGACAGACTTAGTTCCTTGGTATAACTATATATCCCCAACCTTTTATAGGTGTTTTCATGCACTTTATAGAAATTTACAAACTGGTGGAGATCAAAGCAATGAGTTGACACTGACTGAGGACCAAATAATCAAAGGATTGGTACCAGCATATTATGTCCATAGGATGTTGTCAAGAGATGCTCCCTGCTTAACTGTCGTTCTTTCAATTTTTCCATGAGTGATACCTTGAACACATATGGACACTTTGGGTACAAGAAAGGTTTTGTTAAGCAAATCTAACTTCAACATTGATTACATTTATATTTGTGCAAATAGAATAGATTACAGTCCTCTGCTGAATATATTTTTGACTGACAAAAAACTGTAGTCAGATGATCTGGTCAAATACACCAGTAAAAGTAGTGACATCTCCACCACATATGAACAGTTTGGTGGGATAGGAAAGTTTTTTCTAAAACAAACCCAACTTCAATATTGATTACATTTTGACATGCTATTACAGAATCTACTATATATCAGAGTCCTAACAATGTAAAATAGTTTTAGACTGACAGAAAATCAACGGAGGTCAGATGATGGGGTATAAACAATAGTAAAAGAAAGCATCTACATACGTGCACTATAATTACACTATAATAAACCTGGTACCCTTGAAGATCCCATTTAGAATTGGTATTCAGTAACCCATGCCTGTCGTAAGAGGTGACTAACAGGATTGGGTGGTCAGGCTCGCTGACTTGGTTGATATATGTCATTGTATCCTAATTGCGTAGATCGATGCTCATGCTGTTGATCACTGGACTGTCTGTTCCACACTCGATTATTTACAGAGTGCTGCCATATAGCTGGAATATTGCTGAGTGCAGCATAAAATTAAACTCACTCACTCACACTATCATATTTGCATCATGCCAATATAGTTCTCAATGTTAGGTCAATATTTCCACTGGTGTAGTTCACATAAGCTGCCTCTTGGTGAATACATATCACTAGTAAGTTATTTAACAAGCATGAAATTCTCATATCACCAACCAATTGAGAGCAAGAATTGAGCCCCTGAACACAAGGGCTGCCTGGGACACGTCCTGTAGAATCAGTGACACTAAATCAGAAACTGATTAATACGCTGCTGGATGACTGGTTTCTCTTGTGTCTCTGCAAGGTGGCGTTACCATGACAAGATCATTGAGACAGGTGGTTGTTATCGAATACGCTTACATTTTCCATTTGTTTCAGTGGACTTTAAAAACATTTGCAATATCCAAAATATTTTAAAATCCCATAAAAGTCTGCAGTGACCACATGACTAATAAAATTAAAATGTCAAGTAGAAAATATAAATTGTTAATAAGGCAAAATGAATCCTTGATTGGGATGTTCTCAACCTGCAAAATGTTTTTACTAATCCCAACCTTGTTAATGGTACCAGTCCAATGTTGAATGGATATCTGCATGTGACACAACATATTCAGTCTTTGAACTTGGGAAACAAACCTGACAACATCCCTGACAATTTGAAATGAGGGCAAAAAATAAGTTTGAACAATACAAACATCCAATCTCTGCAAAGGACAGACAAAATGATGAACAAAGGTCCAAGGTTGCATCATGTAGGTAGTAGAAGTGGCATCCAGACGACTATTTCGACCAATCAGTGCAAGAATTCGGTCATAACATTTTGTAGTACATGTAGACAAAAACATAGTAAAATACACGAACTGAAGATTTGTCATCTTAGGCTGACAGAGAGTGGTAAAGTGGAAGCCCCTGGTCAACAATAAAGTTCCATATAAACATACCAGGTAGAATGAACATGTCACTGCAGATGTTAATATTTAAATGGGCATTTTGCTTGCAGTAATAAGCTGGCTGGAGGTAGTTCTATCCCTGACATCACAAGAATTGCAGCTGCTCCAAGAGAATGATGCCACCTCACTTACAAGAAATAAAAAGGAAGTATATTTGCGGAACACTCTACTACACACTTGTGAATCCAGTGACCTTGCACTAAGGATTTTCACATTTCATTGCCAGTGCACATGCTTTCTCACATGTAATCAACAAACTAATCCTCTAAACCCCCAAAACTAACAAGTGCCAAAATATCCACAACATAAGACATCCCTTAGAATGTATACATCCATGCATTAAATACCTTGTGCTGTGAGCCACTGGGTAACCCTCCATCGAAATGTGTATGAGTTTTTAAGCAGCACAAGTGGTATATCAATCAGTTAGCCAGGTATTTTTGACATTAGGTGGGAACCGTATGCCCCTCCCTATCGGCAAGCACAGCCCACCTGATGGGGCTTACAGTGTGATGCTTTCTGACACGCGACTACACACTTTACATTGCTTAATTTCACATACACTGAACACCAATGTCAGAGCCCAGGGAGACTATTCTTAGAAAGTAGGTTTGCTTACTTCTCCTCATCAAACAGTGGCACCAAGCCTGCAAGGAAAATCTGCATGGAATTATCTCTTATTTGTCTACTACATTTTTTGGACCATTGTTTATTTTCTACATGCTTCATGAATGTCCCTGTTTATTCGTCATGTAAACTTACTGCTTTTTCAACAAAAGTGCTGCATCAACAGTTTCATGTTTGGTTTTGTGTTTTATCAAAAAGGGTATTAGAATTTCAATTCTTTACAGAAAATATATCAGATCCTGTTCTAATCAACTGAATTATCAAATATTAATGTAAACAACATCAATGCGTATAACTTACATTGAATGTAGTATCTCTCATATTTTGTCAGATTTAAACACAGCCAATTTTTGCATTTCCGTTGATCCTCGAGAGTGTAGTGAGTGATCTCCTTACCACAATCTAAACTTGTCAACGCTCACCTACATCCATATATAATCCAGATTGTGATTAAAATAGGTCAAAGTAAATTGGGATTCACTAACTTTGAGAGAATGTTCCACAATCATGTGTATTTTATGGGGTAGACCTTTACATGATGTAAAAGTGCTTACATTCCATTCCCAAGCATGTACATAGTAGGTGAGTGAGACGGGTTTAATGGCGCTATGAACAGTATTTCAGTTATATCATTGCATGTAAAAATGTGAGAGGAAAACCTCAACTGATGCATGACTCGTTTATAACTTTGGTGAAACCACAGAGTATATGTACAGGAATGGCGCTGACAAGAAACAATCATGGTGAACCAGGTTACACTTAGACAAACAGCCCGAGTGGCCCTAGGTAAATGTATAAATGTTGTTTAACATTGTAGTCAGGAATACTCTATCTTTATCACAGTAGCCTGCTCAATAATGAAGTCTGGACCAGGCAAAACAATTAATAAAAAACAGATCTTCACTATCAACACTGACCCACATCCAAAGTGCGATCAGCAATGGGATGGACCAAATTGAACCCAAGTCCTCACAAAGATCCTACGCATCTAAAATACAGCACATATGCATTTCAGGTAAACATGTGTGCACACCTGTAACGATGTTATTTTGCTACCTTACTTCTGCAGCCTGGTTACATAGCTGCACTATCATCACAATCAAGGGAACAGAGCCTCAAACACAACATCATCCTGACATTTGAGTCAGAGAAAATGATGTTCTCTGCCATGTTTATTATGATTTTCGTCTTGCATAATGTATGCTCTCAAATGAACAAAACACTAGCCATGAAACTATCTATACTCCATTTGCATGTAAAAGACCATGCAGACCTGCCAACTTGTACAATTCTTTTATAACATGCATCTCAAAATGTACTGAAGTTTTGCTTGAAATATAACAGTCACAAACTAACGGAACCAAACTATTGCTCCAATAAAACTCTTGTAACAGCGGTACTCAGATCCTCTCGAAGACAAGGGAGTAATTGTAGGCCCCACTTTTATTTCCATATTGTCAGAGGCAAAGGTTTGACATACAAAAAACCAAAGAAACACAGTTAAAATATGTTTTATCGGCTTGCCTTGAATAATATCACATGGAAAGAACAATGTCTGAAGGTATAGAGATGAGAAACAAACCAATGATGAGTTGTCCTGCCACATGCAAATGAGTAATGTCACAGAGAGATTCAGAGGCAGCTTCACAAGGCAAGTGGAGAGAATGTCCACCTTGTGAATTCATGCAGGTCTGACAGTCATTGAGGCCACTAAACATTGAAAAATTATCTTAGTAATGGCATTCCATATCTTTGAAAGGTTGGTTGGTTGGTTTGTTGGTTAACACCACACTCAGCAATATTCCAGGTATATGGCGGTGGTCAGTAAATCATCGAAAATGGACCAAACAATCCAGTGATCAACATCATGAGCACTGATCTACGCAATTGGGATACGATGACACGTGTCAACCAAGTCAGTAAGTCTGACCACCTGATTCCGGAAGGATGAACTGGAGGATTGAATCAGTAGAATCAAAGTTCTGTTTCAGTGTTTGGTGGATAAAATTGGGTTCTTTTAACCTTGTCCTGAGTAAGATACAGCTGCCTGACTCTAGTAACATGCATTTTGGAGTGTCTTGTTTAGGTGTATTGCCTCTCTTTGGACAATTTCTTTCCAAAATGGTAAAACTCACATTTTATTAATTATGCATTATTCAAATACCCATCCTTTGTACTGATTGTAGTCCTTGTTCCACCCAAGGTCATAACTCCATCATCTCCACAGTGACTGCCTTCAAGAACACACAATGTTAAGCAATGTCACCTCCATGCCTACAGACATGTCCTGATACCAGGAAGAAGGAAAAGTGACTCGTCCTTGAAGGGGACCCTTCTCTACCACAAGTGTTGTCTGCACCCCTGATGACACGGACACTGATGATCTGTTGAACGATGGGCCATCTGGGTGGATGCTTCACATGGATGTGAAGATATCACTGGGCAGTCCTTTCACAAATGCCTGTGTTGTTCCTG